ATAATAATAATAAATCCAGTTAGTTGCGCTGAACACACAACACGTCCAGTCAGCTCTGAATAAAAGTGAGGCTACAGTTCACACAGGCTGGCTAAATAAAAAACAAATAATAAGAGACTGGGAAAATATTGTCTGGTCTGATGGGTTTATATTTTCTGGATGCCAACGTTCTCCACAGTCACCAGATCTCAAATAAATCAAGCTCCTCTGACATGCGATAGAATGAGAGAATCACATTATATACATGAGCTTAATAAAGTGTCTGGTGAATGTTATATAACAAAGCTTCCATAATTTTTGACAGATAATCCTTGAAAAATAGTCAAGAAAAGAAACAGTAGATTTTTACCTGCACATATGCTATTTAATGTAAAAGACAGACACGTTTCCCTCCTGTTCACTGTGATTAGGTGAAAGTCAAAGGTGAAGTATGAAGAGATAACAAATTTTATAATATTTTTATGTTCACAGAAGGATATTTTTGTACAACTTTTATACATTTTGTTGATCCCGTAAATGCATATATTTTTCTATTATTTTATACACCTGTAGACAACGTATATCTTAAATGTAATTGTATGTATATTCTATGTAAATGTACTAATTGCAAAGTCCTGGGCCCTGTGGTGGACTTGTGACCTGTCCAGGGTGTACCCCGCCCCTCGCACTGTGACTGCTGGATATGGGCACCAGTGACCCACGCGACCCTGAAAAGGAAGAAGCGTGTACAGAAAATGGATGGATGGATGGATGGATGGATGGATGGATGGATGCAAAGTCCTGAAAAAACAACTAGACTAAATCAATGCAAACAAGTGGTGACAGTCAGTGCAGCTGTGGCTGCATTGTAGTTTACCACCATCAGTGTGTGAATGTGTGTGTGTGTGTGCGTGTAAAGTGTCTTTGAGTGTCCTAAAAATGCTATATAAGACTGATACATTATTAATATTATTATCAAATAGTCAGACTTTGTTTTGTGTTATTTATTCAGTGAGCAGGACTTTGAACTATTTGTGCAGGAAGTGGAACATTATGCCCTTGGCCTACTTTCATTATTGTTGTTGAACAAAGCATTTTAAAATAAAAGATATTCAAGTGCACGAAAGAAGAGGTGGAGCTTGTTTGCTTTCAAATAAACAAAAGTCAGATAAGATTTTTGAAGTAAGAGCATATCATGCTGAGAAATGATAAGTTGTAGTTTTGTTTCCATTAAAACAAAAGTTTGAAGCAATGATGTTGAGGACCATTGGAGTCTGTGTTAATGACTCAGCAACAGCTACAGTACCATTTAGCTCAACATCTGTAAAATTAAATAGATTATAGTAATGTTTATGTTTTCAGGCAGGTTGACTGTATGAAACTGGGATGGCTTCAAAAGTTAATCAGTTGCAGAAACACATGATTAGGCTACTTTCTGCAAGTTTTACTGCATGTTTCTGGTGATTCATCAGATTTTCAGGCTGACACAACAGAGTTGATGTCTGTGGAAGCCGAGAGCAGGTGTTTTCTGCATATTTTTTCTCCATCTCGTGATGATGAAATATTATATTGTTAACGTGGAAAAGCCTACATATTATGTCGTTATCATGAAATGAGCATTTTCTCAAGGCAACTAGTTATGGTTTTCCTCTTGTGCATCATTCGGTAGCAATGAAGACGACCTGGTCCTCTCATCTGGTCACCATAAAGTTTATTAATTCAACAGGATCAGTTATGTGTAAACATCTGCTGAGCTGCAGTCAGGCCAGCTGTGCTGTTTAATGATGAGGGCTGACATGAAAGTTATCTGTACAAGACAAATAAAACTGCAGTTTCAGCCTTTGATAGTAAACTTCATCAGTGACCAGCTGAGGGGACTAGACCATCTCCATCATTACCAAATGATGCACAAAAGGAAAACCAGAAAACACTCATTAAAATTTTTTTCTCCATGGTTTTGTCATGTCATTATCACAACAAAAACATGGAAAAGATTACATGTGGAATACATCTGCTTTCGGTTTCCGTAGCGTCCAAATAGTTATATTTTGTTAGATGTCAGTTTTCAGAATATGTGCTGGGAAACAGTCCCAGCTGCTGTTACAACATTCAAACATTTGTAAAGTGACTGAATTATCATTGTTGTGTTGGTCTGTTGGCTGTGGCGAACATTTTGAACTTATGTGACGCCAAAAGTTAATCAGTTGTAGCATTGCATTTAATTACTTTCTGCAAGTTTCATCACTCCAGTAGGTTCGTGAGATATTTTGCTAACAAACAGACAAGGTCAAGAGCAATTCGCCCGCATTTCGTCTGAGAAAAAAAAAAACAAAACCCTGGCATCTTGTGGCCTGGTCAAAACTAGGCTGTGATCATATGATCGAGAGCAACAGGCTGGAAACGCCAAGGCAGGAACACAGAAAAAAAAAAAAATCCCAGCGATTTAAATTAGTAAATTTTATCAGAGACAGTTAGGAATCAGCAGAAGCGTGCGCTGTACTTTCAAAATACATGACACATCAGCGTTTCCTCCAGCGTCTGCGAATAATTACAAAAATGACAAAAACTTTTATTGTGAAAATCCCAACCAGGAGCGTCTGCAGTAAATCAGCAGTAACTTTCCTCCGTCACATGATGCTGCTCCTCTATTCGTGCAGTTAATATTTACAGATTGAAGGTAATCCATAGCTCACCTGTTGGTAACGCAGCAGGTGCTGTACCTGACTCATTTTTGATAAATGTAGGAACTTTGTAGGTAGGTGTGCAGCTTTAATACGCTGCTTTTATTTTAAGTTTTTATTCTCATTCATAAACAAAGCGTAGCTAATGAAGAAGCAAGTGGATCTGGACGCTCCACTGCTACATATTTTTAAAAGCAACTTTATCGGCAGATTTTAAGTTTTTCAGAGAAACAGTGGAGTTTTCGCTGCCAAGCTGCGGGCCAGGTTCCACTATGACCGAGCGGACCCCTCTCCTTCACTACCGCCTGGTGAGCAGCGTCAATGAGTCCGAGCAGCAGCCGGCTCCTCCGGCCAGGGAAGCCCCGGAGCAGCTCCCGGGCAGCCCGAGGCAGAGGTCCTCCCAGCAGCGGCAACAACCCAAGAAGCTCTCCATTTTCTTCGGTGTGGTGATTCCCACCCTGCTGTCCATGTTCAGCGTGGTCGTCTTCCTCAGGATAGGTGAGTGTTTGTCTGCTGAAATCACTGCAGGCTTGTTTTTCAACACGTGTTGTGCATTAAACCCCATTATGAATCTAGATATTTTAGTGCCTAATATTAAGAGTTGAGGTTATTTGAGATAGTTTTAAAATTACGTTTGAACTGTTGTTTAATTGATCACACACACACACACACACAAATCGTTACAACTTACTATTTTATTTTCATTGTTCTTCGATAGAGGGCGCTAGTGAGCATTTCAAAAATAAATGCCCTGAGGCACCAGAGTGCTAAATGTGTACGTTCTGCTAATTTGATATTTTTCATTCTAAATATATCAGCCAGTTTAAATTCTATTTTCGTGAAACTTGGCCAGTTTGTTTGTTAAGATTATAGTATGTTATAATATGTTATAGTTATGGTAAGGTGTACAGAATAGGAGATCTGCACGGAAAGTACACTCTTTACCCTGAGGCCCAGTATTGTCCCACTGACTTCCATTATAGCTGTGGAAGACCAAAACTGACATAATTAAAATGAAAATAAATGAGCCAATAAATAAATAAATAAATAAATAAATAAATAAATAAATACATACATACATACATACATACATACATACATACATAC